TGAACGTATGAGGCGTTTTATACTTCCTGCACCCGAGCGAGTGCATGCCGTAGCAGCAGAGGTCAGCAAAACCAGCATTACGGCTATTGCGACCAGAAATTTCACCCCTGAAGATCCGTCCACATTTTCGCATCCCGTTCGGCCGTCCAGATACGCGGCGTGTCGATGCCGAGTGCCTCGTCATAGGCCCGAGCAACATTGAACGGCAGGCAATGCTCGTAGATCGCGTAGTCCTTGAACTTCGGATCGCATTCGGCCCGGCAGGCGTCCCAGGCCTCTTTCAGCGATCCGCCACCCTGGGCGATCCGGGCGACCGGCCGGTAGGTCGAGGACACGAAGTCGGCCGTGTTGGTCAGCGCCTTGCCCACCATCTCCTTGCCAACCAGCGCGTCGCCGCGACCCGGCGCGATGGCTTCCACATCGAAAGTACGGATTGCTTCAAGCGTTGCCGGCCAGTCGTTGAAATGGCCGTCGCCGCAATAGCAGGCGGAGTGGTATTCGACGATATCGCCAGTGAACATGACGTTCTGGTCCGGCACATGGATGACGATGTCCCCCGCCGTATGGGCGCGACCAAGGAAGCGCAGATCAACCCGGCGCTTTCCCAGATAAACGGTCATACGGTCGTTGAAGGTGGTGGTCGGCCAGGTCAGGGGCGGAATGTCGTTGACATTGTCATAGCCCATGAACAGACGCGGGAAACGCATGAATTCAGATTCCCGGTCTTCAGCGCCACGCTCCACAACCATGGAACGAGCCTTCTGGCTCATGATCACGGTCGGTGCCTGATAGGCGGCAGCGCCCAAAACGCGCACGGCGTGATAATGGGTCAGCACAAGATGGCTGATCGGCTTGTCCGTGACGGAGCGCACCTTTTCGATCACCTTGTTGGCAAGTTCAGGTGTCGCCTGCGCCTCGATGATCATGACGCTGTCATCACCGACGATGACGCCGGTATTCGGGTCCCCCTCGGCGGTGAAGGCCCAGAGGTCCTTGCCGATCTCGGTGAAGGAGATCTTCTTTTCCGCCATGTCCCCGGCGGATGCGAATTGTTTGCTCATGCGTACTCCCCAGACACTGCGCCTGCTTGTTGTTTGATCCGGACCGGGTCCGGGACCGTGTCAGCTTCGATTTGACCGGCAAGGTCTGCCTAGACCTTCTCCACCGTCTGCTCGATCGCTCCGAAGATCGAATGACCTTCTCCGTCCATCATTTCGATACGCACCGTGTCACCGAATTTCATGAAAGGAGTCTTGGCCTGACCGTCATTGATCGTCTCAATCATGCGGATTTCGGCAATGCAGGAATACCCGACGCCGCCGTCTGACACCGGTTTGCCCGGGCCTCCGTCAAGCTTGTTCGAAACGGTACCTGAGCCGATGATTGCTCCTGCGCCAAGATCACGCGACTTGGCTGCATGGGCGATCAGCTGGCCGAAATCGAAGGTCATGTCGACACCGGCTTGTGCTCGGCCGAACGGCGCGCCGTTCAGATCCACATGAAGCGGCAGGCTCAGCTTGCCGTCTTTCCAGGCATCGCCCAGCTCATCCGGTGTGACAGCAACAGGTGAGAACGCGGAAGAAGGCTTGGACTGGAAGAAGCCGAATCCCTTGCCGAGCTCCGCAGGAATAAGACCGCGCAGAGACACATCGTTGACAAGCATCACCAGCTGAATGGATTTCAAAGCGTCCTCGGAGCTGACACCCATTGGCACGTCGCCAGTGATGACGGCGATTTCGCCCTCCATGTCGATGCCCCAGGCTTCCTCGCGCATTCTGATCGGATCGCGCGGTGCGAGGAAAGTGTCGGAGCCGCCCTGATACATCAGCGGATCGGTCCAAAAACTGTCCGGCATCTGGGCGCCTCTTGCCTTGCGCACCAGTTCCACGTGGTTGACATAGGCCGAGCCGTCCGCCCACTGAAATGCGCGCGGCAACGGTGACAGGGCATCATGTTCGTGAAACCGGATCGTCGGCACGGCATCGTGCGACAGGCTTTCGGCCAGCAGCTTCAGCTTGGGCGAAATGACATCCCAGTCGTCCAGCGCGGCCTGCAGCGTCGGCGCGATGTGGCTTGCATCGGTGCAAAAGGTCAGCCGTTCGTTGACCAACACCAGCTTGCCGTCCCGGCTGCCATCCTTGAGCGTTGCCAGTTTCATTAATTTCAGCTCCTTGTGATTGTCAGCCCGTCATGGCCGACAATGGTTTTACCGGAAAAGGCTTTCGTGGCATCCAGCCATTCTTCTGTTTCAAACCCGGGCAGATCCGCCGGGATCAGGTGGTTGAGCACGAGCGTCCCGGCCTTAGCAGCCTCGGCAATCTTCGCGACATCGGGCGCCTTTGTATGGCTCGCCAGAAGGTGTTCCCTTAGCCGCGCACCATTGCCCGTGATTTGCACGATCGTGTCAACACCGCGTTCCAGCATCGCCTCGTGAACAAGCACTGCACACCCTTGAGCAAACTTCGCCAACGGCGGAAAACAGGTTGTATCGGCTGAAAAGACGACAGACCAGTCAGCCGTTTCGAACCTCAGTGCAAAGCAATCGGCAACCGGCGGATGATCAACCTTCAGCGCTCTCACGGATAGCTTTTCGTCTTCCAGCGACAGGTCGCCTTCCCGAATCAGATGGATCTCCACCAGATCACGCAAATCGGGCCGGCCTTCATCGTCGATCCTCAGATCGATGTCGTAGCGCATGGAATTCAGGAAACCGTCCCAGTATTCCATCAGGTCTGCCGGTCCGTAGACCCTCACCTTACGCGCAAGTCCCGTTGTCCATGCTGTGTGAAGAAGCGGCCCGAGTTCCAGCACATGGTCTGAATGCATGTGCGTGATGAAGACAAGGTCGAGGTCCTTCAACTGAACCCCTGCCTCCACAAGGCCTCGGGTTACACCCAGCCCGCAATCGACAACGCATCTTCGGCCGCCGATCTCGATCAGCGAACTGGTCGGCGACGGGCCACCCGGACGTATGGCCGGGCCACCTTTCGACCCGAGAATGACCAGGCGGTCCTTGAGATCCGTTGACGCCATCTGTCCAATCAACCCTTGTTCCACGTTCCTTCCGGGGTCCCGTCAAACTTTTTCTCAAGTGTCTCCCAGCAGTCAATATAGTCGTCCTGAAGCGGTGCTTCCCGGGCAGCAAATTCGGTAAGGTGCTGCGGAAAGCGGGTCTCGAACATGAACGACATGGTGTTGTCGAGTTTTTCCGCTTTCAGATCCGCATTGGACGCGCCCTCGAAGGCATTCTTGTCAGGTCCGTGCGGTATCATCATGTTGTGCAGGCTCGTGCCGCCTGGAACAAAGCCTTGCGGTTTGGCGTCGTACTGACCGTAGATATTGCCCATCATTTCCGACATGATGTTCTTGTGATACCAGGGTGGACGGAACGTATCTTCCATGACCATCCAGCGCTCGCGGAACAGCACGAAATCGATATTGGCCGTGCCAGGCACGCCAGACGGTGCCGTCAAAACCGTGAAGATCGACGGGTCCGGGTGGTCGAACAGGATTGCTCCGATAGGGCAGTAGTTCCTCAGATCGTATTTGCATGGAGCATAATTGCCATGCCAGGCAACGACATCCAGCGGAGAGTGTCCGATCTTTGTCTCATGAAACTGACCGCACCATTTCACTGTTACGGTTGACGGCGCTTCGCGATCCTCGAAACAGGCAACAGGCGTCTTGAAATCCCGCCGGTTCGCCATGCAGTTGGCACCAATCGGTCCCCTGCCCGGCAACTCGAACTTCTGCCCGTAATTCTCGCAGACGAAGCCGCGCGCGGGACCTTCCAAGACTTCGACCCTGTAGACAAGTCCTCGTGGCAGGATGGCAATTTCCTTTGGCTCAAGCTCAATGACGCCGAGTTCCGTACAGAACCTCAGGATCCCCTCCTGGGGCACCACCAGAAGCTCGCTGTCGGCTGAAAAGAAATACTGGTCTTCCATCGATTTCGTGACGAGATAGATATGGCTCGCCATGCCGACCTGGGTGTTGACATCACCGGCGGTGGTCATCGTGCGCATGCCGGTCAGCCAGGTGAGATCTTCATCCGTATGGGGCACCGGATCCCAGCGGTATTGGCCGAGCGAGATGACATCCTCATCAATGTTCGGCGCGCTCTTCCAATAGGGCAGATCTATCTTCCTGAAGCGGCTGGTATGCTTCACAGACGGACGGATGCGATAGCACCATGTGCGTTCATTCTGATGGCTCGGCGCGGTAAATGCCGTGCCCGAGAGCTGCTCACCATAAAGACCGTAAGCACATTTCTGCGGGCTGTTCATGCCCTGTGGCAAGGAGCCCGGAAGCGCTTCCGTTTCGAAGTCGTTGCCGAAGCCCGGCATGTAGTCGGTCTGCGAAGAATTGCGGCCGTTGCCGGACACATCCTGAGTGCTATCCGTTCTCTGATCCATCACGTCCTCCCGGGTCAGGGCTAAATTAGTTACATATGTAACCAATATTCGAAATGGGTCAAGATATATCGGCAATGATTTTTTCAACTTCAATTTATTGAGCGCTTAACTATCTGATTTCACTAAAATAATTTACCTACCATCACCCCTTGCCAACAAGGTATCTTGATCGCCGGGCCAGATTACGCTAAAAAGAACAAACTAAGAACATTTGAGGTAAGCATGCAATTTGTCAGCCCTGTCCAAGGCCAGTTTGCTGTTGTGGTGGCTTCACAAACGTCCGGTTTCGATGCGTTGCCGACCACGGATGTCACGCCGGAAGATGTCCGCGAGATGATGACCTACCTGCGCAAGGCCAAGGAACGGGCGGTCGCCATACGGGATCACTCGCCGGCAGGCAGCTACATGGAAAGTGTTTTGACGAGAACCATCGACGGCATCACGCTTGAACTCTCCCAACTTGACTACCTGCTTGCACGCAAACCCGTAATGCTGGCGGAAAAAGGCCCATCGGACCGGCGCATGCGTCCGGCAATCTGACACGGTCTCGGAAGATCCCGATCTCCCCGGAAGTGTCGTTCGGGTTTACCTGTACTTTCCGGCGGTGATGAACTCACCGAAGGCCTCGCACCACACCAGCACCGTATTGTAGTCGTCGATGCTCACGTCCTCGGGAACTTCAACGATGAAGCCGTCGAAAGTCTTGATATCTCCGAGCCGGACAGCAGACTCCTTCATGGCAAGAAAGCCGGCCTCATCATCGACGAACTCCTTGACGAGATAGAGTTTGTAGTCCGGGCCAGGCGAGAGTTCGCCTTTGTGGACAATCCGCCGATCGGAAAGACTGATCGTGCCTTCGCCCCAATGGAGCAGGTCGCTACCCTTGAGGTCCCGAGACAGGGGAACCTCATATCTTGCACCTTCCGCCGCTGCAGCCAGCGCGGTCGCGTCCGGCCCATTTGGTTCTGTCAGGATCGGCAGAAAATAGACGCCGAGCGCGAAACCGATGGCCAGAACGGCGCCATGGGAAACCAATAGAAGAAGCAGCTTCAGCATATCAGGTCCTTGTTATCGATTTGGCGTGCGCTTCAACAGGTGAAGACATGTGACGATACAACCAAGTCCAGGTGACAATTGCGTGCAAGACAGTTGAACCGGGCCGCCCTTATGCCGCCGCCTCGTCGCCTGGCGCTGTCTGCCAGCCAAGATCGGTCAAGGTGACAATGCGATTGCCGCGCAGGTCCGTTGCACAGACGAGGAAACCGCGCTCTTCCATGTGGCTCAACAGCCATCTTGCCCTTCCTGGCGACCTCGTTCCATAAGCTGTTGCAATCTCGATATTGCCCGGACATGGCGTTTTTGCCAGCGCGGCTTTTGCAAGCAGCAGATAAACGCCTCGCATGTCGTCAGGCAATTCCGCCGCGATCAGTTCCGCCTGCGCCCAGGCACCTTCATCCATCTCACCCTTTTCAACCCCTGCCCGCGCAACCGACAGTTTTTCCCGAAAGTTCTGCAAATCCGGCGCGCCGCCTGCCAGTTTGGCAATCCGGCACCGAACCTGGAAATCCTGATAGAGCGTTGCAATCGGCTGGAACGCCGCGTCTTCGTCTTCCAGAATACCTGCAATGATCTCGGCGACTTTCTCCTCGCGCTCACCGAAGTCCAGCAGGTTCTCGGCCTGAGGTAACGCATCTTCGCCGGCCAGTTCGGCGCTGGAAAGCCGATCAAGCACTTCGCCTGTCGAAACGACCGGCTCCACAAAACGCTGTCTGATGGGCCGATGCTCATCTGCTGAGGGCGTGAAGATCAGATCCTTCGCCTCTTCCTTCGGCTGATCCGGCAAAGGCATCAGTTTCGGGCTCCCGCCGCGCCCCATGGTCTCAACGGGGCCAATCTTGATGGGCACGGGCCGTCGTGACAAGGCAGGACCAAGTGCGATGAAATTGCCCCGGTCCAAATTGCGGAAACTTTCAGCTTGCCGGCGTTCCATACCAAGCAGATCCGCGGCACGCGCCATGTCGATATCGAGAAATGTGCGTCCCATCAGAAAATTCGAGGCTTCCGCGGCAACGTTCTTGGCAAGCTTTGCCAGACGCTGGGTTGCAATGATACCCGCCAGTCCGCGTTTACGGCCGCGGCACATCAGGTTTGTCATCGCTCCCAATGAGCGTCTTCGGGCTTCTTCCGTGACTTCACCGGCAGCAGCCGGTGCGAAAAGCTGGGCCTCGTCGACAACGACAACCATCGGATACCAGAGATCGCGATCAGCGTCGAAAAGCCCGTCCAGGAAAGTTGCAGCCGCCTTCATCTGGCGGTCTGCGTCGAGGCCTTCCAGATTGAGGACAACGGAAACGCGGTGCTGACGGACCCTTCCTGCAATCATCTGCAGGTCCTTTTCCGTACCAACGGCATCGACAACGACGTGACCGAATTTCTCCGCCAGAGACACAAAGTCTCCTTCCGGATCGATGATCGCCTGCTGCACCCAGTTCGCCGACTGTTCCAGGAGACGCCTTAACAGATGCGATTTGCCCGAGCCGGAATTGCCTTGCACCAGCAGACGCGTTGCAAGCAACTCTTCCAGATCGAGCCCGGCGCGCGAACCACCCGTCATTTCTCCGATATCGATCTCAACTGTCATACGAACTCGTTCAGCGTATTTCGACGCTTCGATTACTCCGCTTGTGCCGCCTATCAAGTACGCGACTCAGCACGATTCCTCGGCCATTGCAAAGACCACCGGACAGGAATCCGTCGTTTTCCAAGAATTCCACGCAACGGGTTTTCGCATACCGGAAATTCCGGCCCGCCGATCCCCAACGAATTGATTTCTCCTCTCCTCTTCAAAAGCGTATTTGTAGCTCCATCTAATTCTAAGGCACTGCCTTGAGGGAGAGACCAGATGAAAATCCACGCCGATCTGAGCGTACGCGCCGTTGTCGACAGTGCGGCCCTGGACTGGGTGCCCTCGCCGATGGCTGGTGTCGAACGACGTATGCTTGAACGCGATGGTGAAGAAGTCGCGCGTGCGACCAGTCTCGTGCGCTACGCACCCGGATCAGCTTTTTCCGCACACACACATGACATGGGCGAAGAGTTTTATGTTCTGGACGGCGTCTTTTCAGACGAAAGCGGCGATTTTCCCAAAGGCATGTATGTTCGAAACCCTCCAGGCTCAAGCCATGTGCCTTCAAGCGAACCGGGTGCGGTGATCCTTGTAAAGCTGCGCCAGATGCAGGCAGACGATGATGTCTATGTGCGCGTCAACACGCTTGATCCGGCCGGTTGGCAAGTAGGACGGCCGGGCGAATCCATTCTGCCGCTGCATATCCGTCCGGACGAGGAAGTTGTCATGCTCGACTGGGAACGCGGCTCCAGTTTCTCCCAACAGACGTTTCCTGGCGGGGTCGAATATTTCGTTGTGGAAGGCAGTTTCGAAGATCAGAACGGAAGATATGACCAGGGCGCCTGGCTCCGCCTTCCCCCGGACAGCAGCCAGACCATCATGACCAACCAGGGCACAAGGGTCTGGCGCAAGACGGGACATCTGTGCCGTTGAATGCCTAAGACGCAGTTGCCGTCGTGAGCCTCTGCTTAACCGCGGTATCCAGTACGGTTGAAGCGATCTTCTTGTGAAATGGCAGAATCAGAGCGAGATAGACGTGGCCGAAAATGTTGTGTCGCTTGCAACAGGTGGATGCAAAGATCCTGGGTGACCGGTCAGTTCGGCGGAATATCGACAGCCTGAAGTCCTGGTGCCAATCATCCTCGCCGAGAAGGATCTCGTTGTCTTCGACGCGGAAGATCCTGAAAAAACCTATCCGGTCACCTGGCTTTCTGTCTTCAAGTGGCGTGTCTTTCTGTTCCAGACCGAGATCTTCGGTTGTTTTCAGCCCGAACGGCTTGACAACGGTATCACGCAGCGAGAGCAGCGCGTTCATCCAGCCGATCTCGGCCATCAGGATGTGATCAGCAAGGACACGCATGTCCGCAGCTTGAAGATCCGGCCTTTCTGCCAGTGACACGGAATAGACGTCCATGAAATCACGTGGTGCATAATAGGTGTTGAGAATGCTGTCACTCGGCAGTCTGTCTCGAACGCTCATATCAAGACCCCATCTGGTGTGCTTTCCGGGACAATACACCATCACATCAACGTCCTCATCGCGCCGATTGACACACCCCGCGACACATGGACTTTCTGTTGGAATTTCCACCTGGAAAACTGGAAGCCGTTACGTCCGAAGATTGCGAAGACGGCTAAAATAAATTGTAAATTGCCCTGTTTTCAATCGCTTCGCCGCGCATTCCGGTTATGATGAAAATCGATTTGAACTGGACACGTTTCGGCTGGAGGGGTCATGAAAGCTGCCAAGGTATTGTTGGGCCTGACTGTCGGTCTTGTCAGCGGGATCGGTGCGAGTGCTCAGGAAAGCGGATCATCCCCTCAAAAAGTCAGCGTAGCCAAAGTCCAGATGATCACACCGGCAAACAGTTCGCGTTATGTCGGCCGCGTCGAGGCAACGAACAGCGTCGACATCGTCGCCAGGGTTGAGGGCTATCTGACAGAACGCAAGTTCACCGAAGGCGGTTCGGTCAAGCAGGGCGACCTGCTTTACGTGATCGAAAAGGATCTTTACCAGGCAAGCGTCGACCAATCCAAAGCCACGCTCGAGGGAGCGAAGGCAACGCTCAAAAACGCGCAGATCGAGCTGGAACGCCAGCGGCAATTGCTTGCCAAGGGAGACGTCTCACAGGCTGTCTATGACAGTGCGAAGGCGACGGCGGATCTGGACCAGTCCAATGTGGACGAGGCACAGGCCAACCTGGAAACGGCCACGATCAACCTGGGATATACGAACATCACCAGTCCGATCGACGGCCGCATCAGCAAGACCAATCTCAATGTAGGCAATCTTGTCGATTCGAACACCGGCGCGCTCGCGACCGTTACCAGCGTCAATCCGATCTATGTCAGCTTCTACATGGGTGAAAAGGATCTGATAAAGGACCGGGAAGCTGGCCTTATCGGTGACGACGGTGCAACGTTTCAAGTCGGTCTTACCCTTGCCGACGGAACGAAATATCCCTCCGAAGGAAAGATCTCCTATGTGGGAACCTCCGTCGAGGAAGGCAGCGACTCCGTCGAACTGCGCGCAACATTCGACAACCCGAAGAACCTCCTGATCCCCGGTCAATTCGTCAATGTCTCCGTCAAGGACGACACGCAGACGCCGATGCCGGCAATTCCGCAATCGGCAATCCAGCTCGACGCGAAGAGCCATTTCGTCTTCGTGGTCGGTGCGGACAACAAGGTCGAACGGCGGGACATCGTGCTCGGCCGGCAATCGGGCACGCTCTGGGAAGTCACATCGGGCCTCAAGGATGGAGAGCAGGTCGTTGTTCAGGGTCTTCAACGGATTCGACCCGACATGACGGTCGACCCGGTTGAAGCAAAAAGCTAGAAGAGACCTGAGGCCATGCTGTCCAAGTTTTTTATCGACCGACCGAATTTCGCGCTCGTGCTGTCGCTGATAGCGTCCCTTGTCGGGGTGATCGCCATCATCTTCATACCGATTGCAGAATATCCGGACGTCACTCCGCCGCAGATCGTGGTGGCTGCGCAGTATCCCGGTGCCGATTCCGAACTCATCGAAAAATCGGTCGCGGTCCCGATCGAAGAGCAGGTGAACGGCGTCGACGACATGCTCTACATGTCCTCGACCAGTTCCAACTCCGGTTCGTATCAACTGACCATCACGTTTGAAGTCGGCACGGATCCGGATATTGCGGCGGTAAATGTGCAGAACCGGGTGGCGCTCGCCGAACCGACCCTGCCGCAGTCCGTCAAGACACTTGGCGTTTCCACGCAAAAACAATCCGCAAACATGCTCCAGGTCATCAATCTGGTTTCACCGGACGAAAGCCGGGACGCCATCTACCTGAGCAACTACGCGACCATTCACATGCAGGACCGCCTGTCCCGCCTGCCCGGCGTTGGCAGCGTGTCGCAATTCGGTCCGCTGGACTACAGCATGCGGGTCTGGATGAACCCAGACCAGATGGCGGCCCTTAACCTGACGGCATCCGACCTTTCGAACGCAATACAGGCCCAGAACGCCCGTGCAACAGCCGGTCAGATCGGTGGAGCGCCCTTTGCGGGCCCGACCGACCTGCAGTTTACGCTGAAATCGCAGGGCCTTCTGGAAACGACTGAGCAATTCGGCAACATCGTGGTATCAGGCGACACTTCAGGGCAACTCGTGCGGCTGAGAGACGTGGCAAGGATAGAGCTCGGCTCCAGTTCCTATTCGGCCTATTCTGCGCTCAACAACAAACCGGCAACGTCTATCGCCGTTTACCAGAGCCCCGGCGCCAATGCGCTCGACGTGGCAGCCCTCGTCGCCGAAGAGCTTGACAGGATGAAGGCGGACTTTCCGTCCGGCGTTGAATACGAGCTTCTTTACGATATTACCAAGGCGGTCCGTGCCTCGATCGAGGAAATACTGACGACCCTTGCCATCACAACGGCACTTGTCGTGTTCGTTGTGTTCATGTTCCTGATGAACTGGCGTGCGGTCATCATCCCGGCCGTTGCCATTCCCGTATCGTTGCTTGGAACGCTGGCGGTTCTCTACCTGATCGGGTTTTCCGCAAACCTGATCACGCTGTTCGGTGTTGTCCTTGCCATCACGCTCGTCGTCGACGATGCCATCGTCATCATCGAAAACACCGAGCGTATCATGAGCGAGGAAGGTCTCGCACCTCGTGAAGCCACCCTCAAGGCCATGAGTCAGGTGACGAGTCCCATCATCGCGACCACATTCGTACTGCTTGCGGTTTTCGTGCCTGTTTGTTTCTTTCCGGGGATTACCGGACGGATCTATCTGCAATTCGCCCTGACGATCACCGTCGCTTTCTGCCTGTCTGCGGTCAATGCGCTGACACTGTCACCCGTGTTGTGTTCAATCCTTTTGCGCCGCTCGGATGCCAAGCCGCCCCGGCTTCTGCGGTTCTTCGCCAGGTTCGTCGACAAGGTTCGCGACGGCTACGTGTGGCTTGTCCGGATCATGATCCGCCACGTCGCACTGTCACTTCTCATACTTGTCGCCGCTGTTGCAGCGACTGTCTTCATGTTCCGCGAAACGGCAACCGGCTTCATACCGCTTGAGGACAAGGGCGTCCTCTTTGCCAATGTCCAGCTTCCGGATGGCGCATCTCTGCAGCGATCGGACGCGCTGGCAAAAGAAATGACATCAGTGATGCGGGAGGTCGAGGGCGTGACCGATGTCATTTCCGTTACCGGCTTCAGCATCATTGCGGGTGAAGGCTCAAACTATGTCACGCTGATCCCGATACTGGCTCCCTGGGATGAACGGAAAACGAAGGCCACCCAGTGGTACAACATCCTTGGGACGCTCAACGAGAAACTTGCAACCTTCGAGGAGGCGATCGCCTTTGTCTTTCCCCTGCCCCCGATCGACGGACTTGGAATTTCCGGTGGCATAGCAGCCCAGATCCAGGATGATGCCGGTGCCAGCGTGGTTGATCTGGGAGCGGTAACGAACGCGGTCCTCTCGGCGGCGAACGAAAACCCGATCTTCCTGCAGGTTTTCAGTTCCCTTTCCGCCAGCAATCCTCAATACGAGGTTGATCTGAACCGGGACAAGGCAGAGGCCCTCGGCGTCGATGTCAGCGACATATTCACCGCTCTTCAGGCCAATCTCGGGTCCTACTACGTCAACAACTTCATTCTCGACAGCAAGATATTCTGGGTCATCCTCGCGTCCGAGGCGGAGTATCGGCAGACGCTTGAAGATGTAGGCAACATATATGTCCGCGGCTCATCCGGCGACATGATCCCGCTCAGTACGCTGGTCAATCTTACCCCGGTTGTCGGTCCCCAGAGTGTAACCCGCTACGACATGGTCCGCTCGGCAGCGGTTCAAGGCCTCACCAACACGGGTTTCAGCACCGGCGACGGGATCACCGCCTTCGAGAAAGTCGCCCAGGACGTTCTGCCAAAGGGGTATTCCATTGAATGGACGGGCATGTCGCTTCAGGAAATCGAGGCCGGCTCCTATGTCATCTATATTTTCCTGCTGGCCTTCCTGTTTGCCTATCTCTGTCTTGTTGCGCAGTACGAGAGTTGGCTGTTGCCGATTTCCGTGATGCTGTCAGCAGTCTTTGCGGTTTGCGGCGCCATGATCCCGCTCTACCTGATCGACGTTCTGAACAACAACATCTATGCCCAGATAGGTATGGTGCTTCTGATCGGATTGGCGGCCAAGAAGGCGATCATGCTTGTCGAGTTTTCCCGCAATTGCCGTGACGAAGGCATGAGCATAACGGACGCGGCGATCAGCGCGGCACACACGCGGTTCCGCCCGGTGACGATGACCGGCCTGTGTTTCATCATCGGGGTCTTGCCGCTGGTATTCGCGACAGGTGCCGGGTCGGCGAGCCGGATTTCCATTGGCCTGCCGGTTTTCGCCGGAATGATCCTGGACAGCACGATCGGTCTCCTGATGATCCCGGTTCTTTATGTGGCGGTTCAAAGTTTTCGAGAGAAGGTATTTGGGAAGCCGTCGTCGGAACTGGACAAAGTTCAATCGGGCTCAAGTGCCTGATGTAGCGGGGTTGCGATGCAATTATTCGCCACCTTCGCTCGATGCACAAGAGAACCGTTTCGTCAGCCCCAGGTTCCCGCAAAGGCGATTTCGCTCAGTGGTTTGCGAGCGCTCGGCGTTTCGCGCTCCTGCAGACTTTCCGACAGTTGAGACGCATCGCCCCGCCTGCCGATTGCAATGGCGATTTCCGGCTTGAACCGGTCCGGGACACCCAGCCGCTGGTGAATATCCTCTTTCAAGATGCCGGCCATCCCATGTGTGTGATACCCGAGCGCGGTTGCCTGTAGAGCGACATGGGCCCAAGCCGATCCGGCATCGAAGGAATGGGTGCCGCTCGCCCGGTTCGGCTCGTCGTTCTTGCCGTCAACTTCCGTGTCAGAAAACAGATAAACCAGCGCGGAGGCATGCTGGGCCCAATCCAGGTTGAAGGGGTTCAGCAGATTGACCAGGGTTTCCCAATGGTCAGCCCCTCGGCGCGCGTAAACGAACCGCCAGGGCTGAATATTGAAGGCAGACGGCGACCAGCGCGCCGCTTCGAGGATGGTTTTAAGATCGGCTTCCGGCATTTCGGATCCGTCAAAAGCGCGCGTTGACCAACGATCGACAAAGAGGTTTTCGACGGGATGATCGGGATTGCGACCAGTCATTGGCAAGTTCTCCTAGGCTCATGCGGGCTTCTAGCTGCCCGGTTGAGCCGGAGATAATCACTTTTTATCTTTATATCAAGATTCTTTTTATAAAGATATTTATCCTGCCTGAACGACCCTCGGTTCCTGTGCCGGGCTGGCGCCCGGTGCTGGCGCAACCAGTATCGCGGACAGAACGAGCAACGCACACACGAGTTCGAGCAATCCGAATGTCTCACCGAAAACAAGCCAGCCAACCAGGAACATGGTGGGCAGTTCAAAACTGCCGGCTGCTGCGGTTCGCATAGGACCGATTTTCTGGCATGCGATTGTGTACATGATCTGCGGAACGAGCGCCGTGACCAGCCCCATCAACACAATCAGCCACAACTCATCGAATGATGACGGCAATATGGATCCGCCACCTTCATAGAGCGCCAGCGGCAACAAGCCGGCAATGGCACCGACCAGGGTACTCACGGCGCGCTCAAGCGGATTGAGATCACCGGACATTCCGCTCAGGACGACGATCAGAAAACCGAACGCGATCGGCGCGGGGATCGCCCAAAGCAAAGCCGCAAGGATCTGAGGCGACAACGTGGACGGGTCCAGCAGAAGCGAAGCCGCCCCAAGCACCAGAGCGATCGCGGCGAAGGTTCTCCAGGTGAGCGCCTGGCGCAGAAGTACCCATGCAAACAGTGCTGCGAAGGCGGGGTAGGACATGTAAACGACGCCGGCTGCTGCGAGTGGCGCCATGCTGATCGCCTCCAGATAGCCGATCAGACTGAGGCCGACGACACCTCCCGCGCCGGCAAGAAGCGAGGCCTTTTCCCATTTATGCCGCTCGCGCGGAAGAAACGGCAGCAGCACAACCACCGAGATCCCGTAGCGGTACAGCGCAATCGTGGCCGGACCGGTTCCCAGCCCCTGAAACTCCCGGACAAAGACCGGTACCAGACCGAAGCAGATAGCCGTCACCACGATTGTGAGTGTTGCGACTGCAGGACTGAGTTGGAAGCGGGGTAAAGAGAAGACTGACATGCCCTTTCGATACATCGCCTCTCTCCATAAATAAAATTCTTAGTTTTCATTTTGATCATGAAATGATTTCATGGAGGAATGATACCGAAACTCGCCATTCATCACCTGACGCTCCTCTCCGCCCTGAATGAAACCGGAAGCATGACCATTTCCGCATCCCGCCTGGGCATAACCCAGTCCGCCGCCTCCCACCGGCTTCGCGAAGCCGAGCGACGGATCGGGATTTCTCTCGTCCAACGGGGTGAAACCGGCTTTCAGCTCACACCCGAAGGCGAACGCCTCAGGCGGCTGGGGGAAAATTTTCTCGCCGAGTTGTTCAGGCTGGAGCAGGAACTGGAGGCTTCCGCTCAGGAACAACGTCTGCTGGTCCGGCTCGGCCAGGCGACTTACAGCCGTTACCACTGGTTCCCGGCCTTTCTGGAATATCTGGAAGCCGAAGACACCAACCTGACAGTAGATCTTTCGGGCAACGCGACGTCCCGGCCGCTCGCCTCGCTGATCGACGGTTCCGTGGATGTTTCGCTGGTGTTCGGCAGGGAACCTGCCCTTGCCCAATTCAAGGCCACAAAACTTGGATCCGACCCGATCGTCGCCGTCATGTCGGCAAATCACCCACTGGCAGGCGAACCCGTCGTCAACAGTCTGAACATGGGTGACGAGCGATTTTTCGTATATCCGCTGACGGCCGAACCCGGTTTCGACTGGACCACCCTTCTCGGCGCTCCGGTCGAACCTTTCCGCCGCCTGACGTCGATGCCGACACCGGAGGCCGTCATCGATCTTGTGCGAGCAAGTTTCGGCGTTGCGCTTTTCAGCCAATGGGCGATCGAACCCGAACTGGCGGATGGCACACTGGTTGCGCGGCCAATCGCGGACGAAGGCATGTATCTCGACTGGTGGTGCGTCAGACGCGCATCGGACCCGAACGACGGTCCGGCGGCCCGCCTGGCAGCGGCCCTGTTGTCCTGGAGTGCGCAGTCTGACCGTGCCTTGTCAACGCTGGCCTTTGCGGCAGATCGGCCAAGCCTTTGATTGCATTCTCAAGAAACAGCTATGCTACCGTCTGCCGGCTGACTTAAGGTGGAAATTGACCGGCACAGGGCAAGCAACGCCCAAAGTGTTTATCGACAAGGAAGCAGCGGATAATGTCACTTTCCGACAAAGAGCGTAAGCGGGGTCTTGTTCTTGCGGTTGGTTGTCTCGGCGGTCTCGTCATGCTCGACGAAACGGTGCTCGGCGTGTCATTGCCCGCCATTCGCGAACATTTCCACCTGTCCGCGACAACGACACACTGGATACTCAACGCGTACATGCTTGCCTTCACATGCTTTGCTGCCGTTGGCGGCAAGGCAATCGACCTGTTCGGATTTCGACCTGCCCTCATTGCCTGCAGTATTGTTTTTGCCATCGCCAGTCTTGTCGCGGGATTGGCAGACAGCATCGCAATACTGATCGCAATGCGTGTCGTTCAAGGACTTTGCGCGGCGATCATGTTTCCCATGTCACTCGCCGCCGCAACTTTGACTTTCGACGAAAACGAACGCGGCAGGGCGATCGGCATACTGGCCGCCATGGCGACCATTTTTCTCGCAGCCGGTCCATTGGTCGGCGGTGTTCTGACGGATTTTCTTTCCTGGCGGTGGGTCTTCTGGATCAACATTCCTGTTGTCGTCGCGGGGAGTGTTCTTGCCTGCATCTTGTGGCGCAATCCGGAACACTCGCGGCCACGCCCCGTCATCGATCCCATCGGACTTGTGCTGATGCTCATTGGGCTAACCGCATTTATTTTCGGCCTGATGGAAGGGCCCGATTTCGGCTGGTTGTCACCGGTGATCCTTGGAACCGTGTTCGGAGGTGTCATCGGCATCGCGGTGTTCCTGGTCTATGAGACCAGAAAGGCCAAGCCGCTGATCGATGTACGCCTGTTCAAACTGCCCCCGTTTCACGCGAGCGCGATGATCATTCTGCTCACCCAAATGAGCAAGATTGTCGTTGCGATCTATGTGCCGCACTACCTGCAGCTGGATCTGTCATATTCAGCTCTCTGGGCTGGAATCGGTACAGTCATCGCCGTTTTGCCAATGCCCATTCTGGCTGCCCCGGCCGGAAAATTCTCGGACAAATACGGCTCCCGAAAACCGGTTCTGTTTTCCATGGCCCTCCTGGCGGTAGCCAACATACTGATTGGCCTGGTCATGCTGCTGAACACTTATTGGGCGCTGGCGCCAGTTCTGCTCATGTGGGGGATTTTCCTGCCGTTCGCAATGATCCCGACAGGACGCATAACCGCAAACTCCGTGCCGAGAGACAAACAGGGCGAAGTCAGCGGCCTCATCATCAGCGCCCGTCTTGTCGGCGGCACACTCGGTGTCACTCTGGGAAGCGTCCTCCTGGCCATGGGAGCGGGTTTCACGTCGATATTCGTCACCATGGGCGTCATGATCGCCCTGGCATGTGCCTACAGCTCAATTGCACTGGAATATGATTCGACATCATGAGGCGTGGAAGGTGAAATGACGGAATTCAGGGCTCAATCACTCGCAGAACTGATCGCTGATGGTGCAATCCACACGATTGGCATCTGCCTCGGTCTGACCGCAACGGTCGTGCTCGCGGTAACGCTCTGGAATACCGGCGACGCGACCCGGCAGATCACCGTGATGATCTATGCGGCCTGCCTGATGACCATGCTGATCTGTTCAGCGCTCTACAACATGCTCGCCAAGGATCACAAATCCGGCATTTTGCGGCGACTTGATCATGCGGCGATCTTCCTGATGATTGCAGGTACCTATACGCCTCTTGCTGCTGTCATCATAGGAGGTTGGACCGGCGGCATCCTGCTTGCGATCGTTTGGACGGGTGCCCTGTCCGGGGCCCTGCTGAAGCTGGTTCACCTGTCCCGTACCGAGCGATTGACGGTTCCGATCTATCTGGGTCTTGGCTGGGTCGTTGTCTTTGCCGCCAATCCGCTGATCGAAAGAGCGTCGACATTCGGCTTCTACATGATCCTGGCCGGCGGATTGCTCTACACGATCGGGACTGCATTCTACGCCTGGAAGAAGCTGCCCTTCCAAAACGCCATCTGGCACGCGTTCGTCCTCGCCGCGGCAGTCTGCCACTTCAGTGCAGTCCTGCACGACGTTGCCCTAACCTAGGCTCGGGCACCACTCGACGTTACGCCTCGGCGTTGGGGTCCTTGCTCAGCACGACCACCTTCGTTCGCAGCGGAACACGGTTGAACAGGTCGATCACGTCCTGCTGCCACATGCGAATGCAGCCGGAAGAAACGCTCTTGCCGATGGAGGAAGGCTTGTTGGTGCCGTGAATACGAAAAAGCGTATCGACCGGCCCCTGCCAAAGATCCATGGCACGTGCACCGAGCGGATTTTTCAGGCCGGGCGGATAACCCTTTTCCCAGTATCGCTCGAGTGAGGGCTTCCGCGCGATCATCTCGCGTGGAGGGCGCCAAATCGGATGTTCGCGCTTCACGCGGATCAACGCTTCACCGGACCAGTCAAATCCGGCGCGACCGACACCGATGCCGTAGCGAAGCGCTTTCTTGTTGCCAAGGGTCCAGTAAAGATAGTTGTTGTACGGATCGACAATGATCGTGCCTGGTCTTTCCCGGGTCTTGTACTCCACGATCTGCCGCAGATAACTCTCATCGAAATTCTTGTAATTGATCGCCGGCCAGGTGTACTCGCCATCCGGCAAAGCCGCGTAGGCGGTCGCATAGTCGAAGTTCTCGTTCGGCAGCTCGGCCTGATCCGGCAGCCCGACGGCCGTCTGGCATCCTGCCAACGCGGCACCGGTGAGCAACAGGCCTCCGGTTAGAAATGTCCGGCGTGAAACCAGGCCATCTTTTCCCAAATTTGAGTTTTCGTGCAGCGGCAATTCGCGCGTCATTGTGACCTCCGAAAAATCTGGCACTCTTCTTGGGCCAGCTTTTCAACAGTTGCAAGTCACTTTCGCAAAAGCGCCTTACATTATTTGCGCGAATGACTAGAGTATGCACGTCGCCCCCCCATTTGTGATCCTCCGGTATCTTCAAGGACATTTCGTGCAACACGACGCTTCAGCTTCTCCCTATCCGATTTTCGACGGTCACAACGACACGCTGCTCAAGCTTGAGATCAACGCGATCAAGGGCGAGGAACGCGACTTTTTTGAACGGTCTGACCAGGGGCACATCGATTTTGTTCGCGCAAGGCAAGCCGGCTTTTCCGGCGGCCTCTTCGCCATGTTTGTTCCATCGAATCCGGACCAGGACTTTTCCAAGTCGTTCAATCCGAAGGACCCGTCCAATTTTCAAGCAGTACCGCAAAAACAGGCGCTCGACTTCACCAAGCGCCTGTTGGAGCGCGCCGAACAGATTGAAGCCGCCTCGAACGGTTCAGTAGTCATCTGCAAATCTCCAAAGGAAAACCGGGAAGCGATCGAAACCGGCAAGCTTGCCATCAGTCTTCACATCGAAGGCGCCGAAGCCATCGACACGGAGTTCCACACCCTGGAAGAGCTCTACGAGCGGGGACTTCGTTCCATCGGCCTTGTCTGGAGTCGTGAAAATGCCTTCGGTTACGGCGTTCCGATGTCCTATCCGGCGTCACCTGATATCGGTCCTGGCCTGCCAGAAGCCGGGCGTGAACTTGTCAGGGCCTGCAACAAACTTGGCGTTTTGCTGGATGTCTCACATCTCAACGAAAAGGGATTCTGGGACCTTGCAGGCATTACCGACCGGCCGATCGTCGCAAGTCATTCCAATGTGCATTCCATCTGTGCCAGCAGTCGAAACCTGACCGACAAGCAACTCGACGCCATCAAGGAAAGCGGAGGCCTTGTCGGGGTAAATTTCCATGTGGCGTTCCTGAGACCTGACGGCAAATTTCAGAAAGACACATCCCTTGAAGTCGTTGCCGATCACACTGCCTATCTCGTGGATCGGCTCGGCGAGGACCATGTCGGCCTGGGCTCCGACTACGACGGGTGCATTCCGCCTGCAGATCTGAGTGATGTAACCGGTCTGCCACGGCTCTTCGATGTGCTGCGAGAGCGGGGTTTCAGTTCTGACACACTCAGAAAACTGTCTTTTGAAAACTGGTTGTCCATGCTGGAAAAGTCGGCCGCCTGAGGCCACCTGATCCCGACCCAAACCGACTGCCCGTGGCTTCGGACCTTTTTCTGCTCGCGAATTTGTTACTAAAGCTTTCGAATTCGCGATTGCAATCATTGTGACCAAGGTCGAAGATGTACACATCAGCACTTTTTGCAGCCGTTCAAATGTCAATTCCGGCATTGTGAGAATCCCATTTTCAGGCAATTTTGACCAACCCGGTTTTCACCAGAAACGTGGAAAGGTCACAAAAGACCGGCAGATGGCTGCTATTGGTCGGTGCGCCCCATTGACCGGTATTCCGTTGCTGGCGGAAAATCGGATGACAAGGAGCATGCAGGGTTGCCTGAAATTTCCGGCATCCATTGCAGCTCCTTGCGGCGATACCGATCTTTGATCAGTGGCGGGGGCGACGACGTGAACATACAGATTGCTGCGGACAAGACGCCGCAAGCAAAAGAGGTTTCGGGGGACAAACGCACCCGAAAATCGGAGTCGGTTTTTCAGGACTTGAAAGGCCGTATTCTGACTGGCCAGCTTCGGCAGGACAGCCCCATGACCGAACAATCCCTCGCAAAGGACTATGCGTGTTCTCAAAGCACGATCCGGGAAGCCCTGATGTTGCTGCAGGAAGGCGGCCTTGTTGTCCGCAAAGGGTATCAGGGAACCTTCGTCACGGACCCTTCCGTTTCCGAAGCTCTGCTATTGCTCCGGTTGCGCGTCAATCTTGAAACCACCGGCATCATGGAAGCGGTAAAGAAAATTACTCCGTGCAAGCTCGCTGAACTTCGTGACCTCGATCGGCAATTCGTGGAAGCCCGAAGCCAGCGGGATGTCTTCACCTGCTCGGAAATCGATCGCGATTTTCACCTGCAGATTTTCAAACTCGCTGGAATGCCCGCACTGGACTCCATGCTGG